AAATGCTGGGCGAAGGGATTTTTCCATAGAATGTGAATGCGACAATAAGCAGCTGCTCATTTCCTTCCAAGCACCCACTGTTCAAGCACATTTGCTGTCCAGGAATCTTAGGCAGACACTTGTTGCTTTTAAGCACATCCTTACTGTATGAAAAGCAAGTCTGGTGTAAATGGTTCCTCCATCCATTTGGATGAGATATGTGGTTTGTTCCCTGCTTGTTTGTGTGGGAGGGTTTGCTGGACCTTTGGCTTGCAAACTGGCTGGTTTTTGATAGCTTAAGTCAATCTGGCTACTCAGTGAAGACATTCTGGGGAATATATCACACAGTGTCAAGATGACAACTCGGTGGGAGTCTGATTTGTTGAGCAGTAAAACTTCCTGCTTATGCAGCTGGCGAGGCAGTAATGCACAGAAACATTACATGGGAAGGCTGGAATGTGGGAAATCAATGACTTTCACAATATGACATTGCTTAGCAAAAAGCTGCCTTTGAAACCCAGTGTTCACATTTCCAATTAGTTTGCCTCTAGCTCTCATGCAAGGAAAGTCCTCATGCTACCAGGAAGGGAAAAGAAAGGAGGAGGGAAGAGGAGCAAGCAGAGCTGGAGGAATGACTGTGAGTTATACTGCACACTGTGAATTGGCTATAAATCCTGGCTGCAGGAATTACTGAAATGGAGAGATAGTTATCTCCTAACTCTGAGATCCAATCTGCAAAGCCCCAGTGTCAGTGGGATGATTTATGTGGTACAAAGTCGTCAGGATTGAGCCCAACACAAGGAAACAGATGCACACAGAAACTTGCTCTCAGTTTTACATGGGGAGCAAACCCCATGTCTCTGGCTGCGTTGCATGGCCATGAGGTAGTGCCAAAAGAAGGGCTGAGGTCAGGCTCCAGGTGTGCCTGGTGTGCTGGGAAAGGCAGGAGGAGGATGCTGTTTTCCCCTGACCTCTGCAGGCTGATGAGCTCCAGAGGGAGCTGTGGCTCGCCTTTTCTCGCTCAGAGATGCACTCACAAGAAGCAGACAGCAGAGGAAAGGATAAATGTGTGGTCCCGTGAATCCCTCTTCCTCTCCCCTTCTCTTCATTCCAACCTTTCCTAAGAAAACTCAGCTTTTATGGGCTTTCATTTTGAAAGGTTGTTTGTAGAGCAGTCCTATGAAAATACACATAGTAAATAAAGGAAACCTACTGTGTTGTCTTTGTTTATAATTTTTGTAAGGATGCAGTAGATATCAGTCAGAACCCTGCTTTAAAGCCTCCTGAAAAGCAGTGACATCCCAGGATTGTTAAAGCTGTGTTTTTCAAAAGGGAATTCAAACCACTGCACAGTTTTTCTCTAGCGCCCGAGCGTGTTTTTTGGATGCAAAGTTGATCCAGAAACATATTTTATTTTGAGGTGCTGCCAGCATTTGCCTCTTCCCTCTCAACAAGACTGATCATACTGGAAACAATCCTTCTCGAGCGAGAGTACGAGGCTGTAGATTGCTGAGGCACAGCCACACATTTCCCTGTCAGCTCTGCCACCCTCGCCCAGGCTGTGGGAGTCTGCTCTGCATAATCTCAGGCACTTACTGCAGCTGGCAGCCAGTCACACCTCCCTGATTCACACTTTTTGGGGTTTTGGAATGATGTTTATTTAGATACAAAACACAAACTTTCAGGCTGAATGCCTTTCTCCACACACTCAGGAAGAAAAGGAGAGCGAGCCTGAACAGAAAATATGAAGTGCCACCACTGTGTCCTGCACCTTTTTGGCTGTCATGCAGACAATATTAGAATTTCCAAGCTGTACAAGAATGAAACTAAAAATCATAAGGCAGAAATTCCAAACAGTACAGGGATGAAAATGATAACCCTAAGCCATGGTTCTATGTGTTTAAAATAAGCAAAAATAGCCTGTTTGGGTTCAGTTCAAAAATAACTTCTTTGATGGGTTGTGTGGCTTTTAGTTTTTATTGTCTCCTTCAATTGAGAATCTGAAGCTGCCAAAATTAAATAGAAGCTTTTTCTTCTCTGTCCCTGCAGGTGAGATATTAAGAATGAAAGAGAAATGTCTAAAAGCAGTGGAAACAATATCAGTGCATCAAACAATGACAACATTGAATTAACTGCCAATTTGTCTGCCTTAGTATTAAGTTTACTCACTCTTTCTTGATAGGTTTTATTAGTCAGGTAATCATCCACCCCAAATTTCTAAGATTATAGACTCAGTGTAAGTACATAATAAAGCTGTTTTGCTGTCAGAAGTGTTTGAAATGGTACTAGAAGTAAAAGTACATAAGAACACAGCAATTTCATATTCAGAGTGCAAAGAACAATTAAAATAATGATAAAATCCTTCAAAAGATTTTTTTTTTTTTCTTCAGAATTGTCACATTCATCATTGTGGCTAAGCCACCTGTACATCTCTCAGCGTGAGGTCACCTGGCAGCAAGAGGAGACACCACTGAGCTGTGATTTGGGCCACAGGTTCACCTTTAGCAATCTCTCTGGCATTGTCCTGGTGATTTGGAAATGGGAGATGTTGCGGTGTTAAACCTCCAGTAAACTTCACATCTGATCACAGCTTTGCTATCATGATATGTGCTTTTTTTCCCCCCTCACTGTTTGTATGGATTTTACAACTCTGTGCAAGCTGAAGTGTCCTTGCAATTCAGGAAGGAGTTGCAACTTGCAACTCCTGTGCAAGTCAGGGCTCAGCTACCTGACATGGAATCCTTAAAGTCTGACAGAAAAGATGCTCAAATCCAGGAAAAAAAAAAACCAAAAAAAAAAAAACCAAAAAAAAAACCACAACCAAACCTCTGTAAAGCAGAAATCTACTGGCTTTTCCTGATTCCTTCTTGCCATACCCTTCCCAGGAAAGTCAGCAGAAGAACTGCACAAAACGTCTCCCAGCTGGATTTCTGGGCACTCAGGCACACAGCCCATGGGGCTGTCTCACCTCTGCACAGTCAGCTGCCCCAGGGGGCCTCAGGATTATCAAAATTAACCTGATAAATATATAAATACAGATATGTTTACTGCTAGTGACACTGCAGAATGAGCTGCATGAGACTCAGCTCTATTTGGAATTTCAAATGGATATTATGGTGGCTTTTACATGTTTTATTTAAGAAAAAGAAGGGTTGGGTAGTGGGAATTCTTCATGCTAGGGACTTAATCTCCACTTTTTCCTTTGTCTGTGTGTGAGTTAGGAACGCGTGCCTGTGTTCACACTTTAGCCTTTCAGTGTATGCCACATATTCTATCTAATCCCCCAATCTAGTCTATGCCTGATGCAAAATTATGTGAAATCATGCCTAAAAAAGGGGTGAGATGTTCTGCATTTGGGATCTCAGTGTTCTGCATTTGAACTCTGAGAGGTTCATGGGACAGAGAGCAGCCTCCCATTGCTGGGAGCCCTGGTTTTCTGCATTTTCTGGGGAGGAAAGTTTGCAAAGGTCAGCTGAGACTGACTTCTGCTGTGCCCTGCAGGCTTCTGCTCCAGAGGAGCTGCAAAAAATGGAACCTCTGACAGAGGAGAGAGAAATTATTCTATATAACAATAAGAAGACATACAGCTCTAAGATAAACTGCTTGTTACACAAAATCTTGTGAATTAACTACTTCTTTTGATGGATCCTGATACTTGTCCCATGTGCTCTTGATTTTAGGCAAGAAAAAAGAAACATTGCTCAACATTTTTCACCAATTAGAAGTCAGTGGCCAGTAAGAATCAGCAAAAAGTAGTGTTTTCCTTCCACTTATTTATGTTTGTCTTCATTAATCAATTTACAGGCCCTTTATTTAAGTTTTTATAACACTAGGCTAAATAAACCAGACTAAATAGCAGTTATTGAAGTAGAATGAAGGCTTGGATCAGACAGAAGAAAATTGTTTTCATCACCTCAAAAAACATTTTTGCAAAAGATTATACCAAGATGGACAACAAAACCTCAGAAACTTTTGGAAAGGAACCTGCTGTGAGTTGGTGGAGTTTGGAGGATTCCAGGGAGTGCTTTGCTAGACTGCAATCATCATCAGCACGCTTCCCTTTGATCTGCCTGGAGATGTGGCAGGGTGTTTAAAGCTGGAAACAGCACTTCTCTAATGTTCCCTAACCTCAAAAACAGGATGCCAAACATAAGGTTTTTTCCTCCTTTTTTCTCCCTCCAGCACATTCCTGCCAGAACAGACTATTCAATTGTGCAGTGTGCGTCACGACCCTCTCTGCTGAAGGAGGGGAGAGCGGCAGTGTGGGGAATGAGAGGCCTTTTGTTGCTGCAGGGAATTTTTTACTGGCTTTTTTTCCCCTCTGTGTGTGAGAGACATAAAATGCTCTGGAAATGTACAGATTCTTCCTGCCAAGAATGGTTGTTTTCACGGCTCCCCTCTTGCCAGTTTCAAACTGATTAAGAAATAATAAAACAAAACAAAAAAAAAAGTTTTCACATACATATCCTAAACTCCTCTGGCTGACAGATATCGTTGAGCAATTGAGTCTGTAAATGTGCCAAAATAACTTATTTCCCCAAAAGAATAGAAGAATCAAATATTAATACTGATGGTAACGTGAAAAAAGGGAGTTTTCAGTGACAAGAACAAATTCAAGGATAAAGTGCTGTTAACCAATTACCTTAATTAAGTTGGAACTATGACTTTCTAATATTTTTAAGGATTTTAGTCAGCTTCTTGGCCTTTTGCTTTAATTCTTTCCCCAAAAAAATTTTCATGCAAAATAATTAATTAATCTCTGAATACAAATGTTACTCATTTTGAACACATGAAATATTTAGAGAGGATTCCAGCAAAATGTTCTCCTCCTGACTTTGACTTGACTTATTCTAATTAACAAGTTGGTTTTGGGTATATTATGGGCTCTGATGGAAATATAGGTGATCACAGCATAAATACAGGCTAAATGTTCTGTGGAACATGCACAAAAAGGAGAAAAGTTGTTTAGGAGTCAGAGAACTGCTGGAAAACAAAGGGAAATGTTTAAAATGCTAACTCACTTTTCTGGCACCTTGTCCCAGTGTAGCCCTCGGCGCAGGAGCAGACATTGGTCCGGACACAGTGACCACCATTCTTACAGGGGGGAATGCAAACAGCTGGGGAGAGGAAAGGAAATGTTCTGTGCACCAAACTCACCTGGGGGATCAACGCTGCCAAAGCACAGGCTCCTCATTGAGGTGCCTTGTTGGGAGAGCAGCTCACAGAGGCATTTTTTGGGAAGGTGTCTCCCCAAGGGTGATTTGGGCAGGTGCCTGGATGGAGACTGATTCTGTGTTTGTGGCAAAAATGTGGGATATGATTCCCAGCACATGAGGGTCTCTTAGATACTTGCAGTTAAGTGGTCAGAATATTCCCAGTGGTGTCAGATTTTTAAGTCTCTGTCAAAGGGCTTCCTCAAGGGCTTCTCCCCATGAAAAACAGATCGGTGTTGGACATTTGCTAACTTGGCCTTGGTGCTGTTACTTCTCTCTTTCTCAAAGAAGCAGAAGGAAGGGCTTTGCTTTCCTTCAGCATCCATCCATTATATCCTGCCATCAATTTCAGATCCCATGAATGTGGATACTTATTTTCAAATTTTAGGTCTAAACCAGAACACTTGAGAGCAAAAATTTCAAATCATCTAGATGCTGAAAATCACCTTCTGTGTTCAAGAGCAAGATCATTAAGCTACAGTCATTTTCACTCTCTCCTTCACCCCCAACATTATTAAAAAAAAAAGTTTCCAGCAAGCTCCGTTTGCAATTAGATTTTTCTGTGTCAATCATTCACTTGTGAAAATATACATCAGGACCACATTCGTTTAGGAATGTGGGAAACAAAAGAGAGTAAGAGCAAAAAATTTTAAATGTTGAAGTTGTTTTGGTAATAAGGGTGCATTTATATTCCCAGATTCAGGGGTGGTTACTAGATCCATATTGATCCAGTGGTGTTAGCACAGGGGTGCTCCAGCTGCTTGGGCCCTAAGTTCTCCTCCTTGTATGAGATACTGGGTCATTAAAGAATTAATTAATTTTTCTTCTGCAGCACAGAGTGAGTGAGAAGACCAGGACACTGTTAGAGCTAGGACAGGGATTCAAAATCAGAGCAATATTGGATCATGTTTTAAAGCAAGGATCTGATGAAGTCCTACAGAAGTCTCCCATCCACAACAATTTAGGCTGGTCAAGTAGTTGACATTGTGAGCCCCATTTGAAGGTAAATTATCACCTGGCTCTGAAACCAGTATAGTACATTCCACAGGGTACCAAAATGAACAAAGTACTGCCATGCTTTCTCATTTCACTGAATAGTTGCTAATTAATATCACTGACTCAAGTAGTTTTAGAATACTTATTTAGTTACCATTAATGGCATCACCAATAAGTTCTTCTTCCCAATACCATCAGGAACAATAAAAAGTGGATTTAGGGCAGACTATAACAACAAGGAGCACATGTAGCTTTCCTACTACGTAAACATGTAGTTATGACAAGGAGTGTCTCTGGATATATTTCATGTGGGGGTAGGTAGTGTTATGGGTAGATTTATGTTTTGAGCCTGGGCCCTTTATCAAGATGATAAATAGAATTTTCTTACCTCTCTGGCACTGTGGCCCATAGAAACCAGAAGGACAGGAGCACGTGTTTGGCCGTACACAGACTCCTCCATTCAGGCACACAGGATTGCACACAGCTGGATGGGAATATAGGATAACTTCATGAATCTCTGATAATGTTGAACTTTTCAGAGTAGGCACCCTTTTACTGCTGCACATGCCATTAGAATTAATATTTCTGGTGATACTGTGAAAAGTTTAATGCAACCCTTGCAGATCAGTTGTGCTGCAGCATTTATTCATGGTCGACACAGTGGGAGCATTTCAGTGGTGCTTTAGCCTAGCTTGGGAGATGAAATAGACTATAATTTAATGTAATAATTTAATTTCTTTCGCATGTATTCTTTTGATTCGCACAGTTCATTTATTTCCATTCCAGTATTCTCACCAAGCACAATCCCAAGGTAGTAAATGCAGTCAAATAAAATACACCCTGGATAACCTGGAGATGAGATATTAATTGTTTGCTGCTTTGTCTGCGTTCAGCAGAGCATTGTGGCATTTCCATGGACTTGAATAGGTGTGCACCAAAAAACCTGTTTGTTCTGCCTCATTTAAATGCCAGTTCCCACAACACATTGGCTCATTCATCACCAACAAAGCCACTGGCTGAGCTCCCTTTGCCTCTTTATGTATCTGTTATTACTCTAGGTGATACAACAGGCATTAGGAATTAAAAGCTGTCTCGTATATTTCTATGTGGCAAGTACCAGACTGCTAAAAACAAAACTATTAGCATATCAAATTTATTTAGATGGGGAGTCAGTGTGTGAAGAGCAAGGAATCTGATAAAGTTTTCATTGTAAAGAGAGTGACACTTTAAACCAGCCTTTTTCTTTCTGTTCCCTTTGTCTTTCAGTATCTTTCAGGATACCCCATTAAAATATAAATGCATTTAAGCTTAAATAAATTAGGGGTCACTAAAATATGTCAGATGAACTAAAGAAGAAATAAAATGTCAATTTGGAAAAAGGAAAAAAAAAAAGTGAAATTGTAGTCTATATGAGAAGTTTTTCTGACTAAGGAGCAGTCACTTATGAAGTCAAAATGGATTTAATTCATTGCTTAAGGGGAATTTGGGTTAGTCATGTCATTGTCCTGGCTACTTCATGGATGTCCATAATTGTGTCAGTCTGTCAGTGTTTATATTTCCAGTGGTAAAGTCCTCTTTTTTTTTCATTTTTATACCTGTATTCCTGACATTTCTATGATAGCACTTGAGGTGGGAAACCCCAGCAGTGCCCTCAAAATATTCTGTGCAGTGCACTCAAAACTGTGCCAGAGAGGTGAGTCTGGCAGCCTTTCACCAAAGCTGTCAGCAGACAAAAATATCCTGCTGCTGTTATTCTGGTCTGGAAGTTACTGCTACTGTTGCTTGTTGTCTGTCCTTCTCTTGGAATGATTCTGTTCAAAGCCTCCCCAAAATAAAATTGCAGAACTCCTTGAGAAGAAAAAGCGGAGCTAGTGGGAACCAGAATAGCAGTGACAATCCCACTCATTTCCTGGGGATCATAGCTGGGCTAATTTATGTTCCCTCAGTAGGTCTGTCATTTTAACACTTACAGGAAGAGCAATCTCCAGGAGATGGAGGTTAAAATGACATCTCTCACCTTCCAGGAAAGGTAATGTAGGCTGAAGGTGTCTCAGCCATTTAATATTCACCGTGGCAGAGGCAGACTGCCTCTGGAGCCTTCAGGTCTGGCACTGATTCAGGTAGTTCTCATCTTTTAATATTTCACTATTTTGCATGCCTTATCCCAGGTGAGTGCTGTAGTTTCTGTGCCGTCGGAGAAAATATCCACCCCAGCTTTTAGGACTTTGATCCTGAGAGGGGGGGTCTGAGCTGTGTCTGTTTAAAACTTTGAGCCCTGACTAGAAATAAGTACCTAATTCCAGTCCACACCTTGTCATTTTGTACTGGTGGGTGGAGGTGGCTTTTTCCTGAGCTCCCCCACTCCTGTGGATGCTTTTTGCGGGTGCTCTGCAAGTGAGAGATGCAGGCAGGAGGAGCGGTGTGAATTCTGGCAGCACAGCGTGATAAGAACTAGCTCCAGAATCACACAAGCTTAAAAACTGCAAAAAGGTTCTGTTTGTAGGTTCCCTCTGTAAAGCCCTGAGATTTAGGTAAACATTTAAACTTAGGAATACTTACATAAACATCTAAACTTATGAACAGTTACATAAACTCAAGCCTTTCTGAGGTTTTGCCCTGTACTTGGTCTCCTCTTCTTAAGCTTTAATTCTTACTTGGGCTCCTCTTTTTAGGCTTTAATTCCTGAAGCAGCAATTCCCAGTCTGAGCAACGAGCTGTGGGGGAACCTCAGCGATTTTGGGCACTTTTGGGCACAGGATCAGGCCCTGCCAAGCACTCACCTGTCTCACAAGAGGGGCTGCTCCAGCCGTGCCTGCACTGGCACTCGTCTGGTGACACACACACGCCCCCGTTGTGACAGTGCCTGCTGCACACCACTGCAAAACACACAAAAAACCAAAATATCTCATCACTAACTCCAGTGCAGATCCTAAAGTTGCCCTATTACAGCCAATAACTGATAGTATTAGTCCTGGAGGTAAACTGAGGGTGGGAGCTGTCCCTTTCCTTGATTTGCTCTCTCTAGTAGAAGCCGTACACCTAAAATTCTTTGCTTTTTAAGTATTCCAGCTACTCAGTTTCATAGATAAAATTATATTCCTCTCAAGGGCAGCCTGATATTTAAATGAGCAGCGAGGTCTGTAATGATGGAAGTGCATGTGTTTTGCTGATATAGAAGGGTTTGAAGGCTGATTTTCAGATATTTTCTGTATTGAACCTCTTTTTAAATTTGTATTGCAGAGTAGCAATACTCCTAATAGGTATGGCTGGTCTTTTGTGTTCTCAAAATTAGCATTACTATGTTCACTCACAATCTTAAATTTCCTAAATATTACTATAAATAACATGCACTTGTTTCCTCTTCTTTTTTGTTTGTTTTTCCAGAAGCAATTTTACGTAGAAAATGTTGATTTAGATGTGCATATTTTTACATAATACAGCAATGCTGCTGGTAAATATATGCTCTGAAATAGCTACTGTATTACTTGAATCCTTTGTATTCAATAATGATTTTAAGGGGAAATATAGGGAAAAAAAGGGCTTTTTTGGTGGTGTTTCTTTTTTTTTTTTTTCTCTTGTAATTTTCTGCTAATTGAAACATGTGATGAAGAAAGCCTGAGTGAGTTCATACATACTTGTTTCACACCGAGGCCCCACAAATCCATAAGCACAAGAACAGGTGTTGTGAGGCAAACAAGTTCCTCCATGCTCACACGGGGGCTCACACTGAGCTGCAAGAGTGAAAAAATACAGTTCAAATATGAAATTCTCAGTGGCTGTGAGCACAGCACAGGTTACTCCTTTCCCCATCCCATTTTATTAATCCAGTGAGTAATTTGGCTGAGGAAAACACTGCAGGATAGCAGCAGCTATCCCATTAGCAACACAGCACTAATGAGCAGCTGTATGAATTCTGCAAGGGAATGGTTTTAACATAATCATATTTAACGCCTGAGCATGCACGTTTTTAAGTACATGTTTTGAAGGCTAGTGACGGATGAAGTACAAATGCAGTTACAACTCAAGACCTGAAAATCTGCCTTGTGGATGGTCAGTAAGCTTCAACAGGTGTCAGAACTCACAATAAGGCAGAGATTAAGTGTTTTTTATAGAAAAGAGCTGTGTGTGGATTTGTCAGCAAAATGGCAAACATTTAAGCAAAAAAAGTTAATATTTAATGAGTAGCATGAGCTCTGCAGATAATAGAGCAAATTAGGTAAAAATTTCTTGAGTTATTGCAGTATGCAATGTAATTCTGTGGGAGGAAGAGGATGAGTGTGGAAAGAACTGCAGCTCCTGAAAGAGGCTGTTTGCTGAAAGCATGCCTGTTTTTCAAATGTTATTAATTTTGAATTTAAAAACTTTATTGTACAGGGATCCTGGGAATTTAAATCTAGGATCTAAAGCAGGTACCTGAGAATTCTTTTGTAACCCTCTAATAAGAGATAATTGCTTATGGCAAACTCAAAAGAGGAGGAGGAAGATCACTGAAGGGAAGGATGATCACTGAAGGGACAAAATCATCCCAGAAGGGACAGGGTGACCACTGACACTCAAAGGAGAAACTCTGGGGCAGGAGCAGAGCAAGAAATGTGTTCCAGAGGCACCTCATGCCTCTGAAAAAAAAAAAAAAAGGCACCTCACAGAATGAAAAATATCTTCCCTTGTGTGTGGGAAGTGAATACAGTGAAGAATGTTGTACTTTGGCTCACTTCACTGGCAGAGTTTTGTCTTTTATGAAGGATATGAGGCTAAGCAAGGTTATTCCAAGGAAAAAGCAAAATGAAGCTAACGAGACCTGAAACAAAGCATCTTTCATTTTAAGTATTGTTACGAGGGAAGAGAACCTTTATGCACCACATTTTGTTCTTAAAGCTGGAAAATGGGCTATGGAAATGGAAAGCTAAATGAAGGACTAATTCTTGGGAAGCCACATAATTTAAATGCAGTTATTGTGTTAAAGACCTCATCACCTCTTGTGATTGTCACCAGGCCATGGAATATGAACTTTGCCATCCAAAAAGATAATGAAAGCCCTCACACATTTTCTAATTGTATTAAAAAAGACAAACTCCAAGAAGGTGCTGTTAGATAAACCATTTTGACATAAATATCATTGAAGAAATAAATATATTTGGTATTTAATGATGAAATTTTTACTACTGCATTATATAACTTTAGGATTTGACCTTCCTGAGAATAGAGGAATTACAAGTGTATTTTAGATCCATACTGTATATGCTGAGAATGTCATTAAGCTAAATTTAGTTTTGATTGGATAAGGTTTAGAAAAATTGCAAATCAACATGTACTTAGCTGAAATTACAAGTATATATCCATGGGGAAAAAAAAAGGAAAAAAAAAAGGAGAAATAAACCCAAATCATCTTTGTCTGGACAACTACATAGATTTAGATAAGTTTAAATAAAGTGTTAGGAAGAAATTATTAGCTGTGAAGTTGATGAGACATTGGCACAGGGTGCCCAGAGAAGCTGTGGCTGCTCCATCCTTGGAAGTGTCCAAGGCCAGCTTGGATGGGGCTTGGAACAACCTGGGATTGTGATTTCTTTGTCCCCCTTTGTAAGGGGGGTATAAAACCCGGGGGGAAATATACCACTCTTTTTCAAGTACATTAAATGTGATTGCCTTTCCTGTGGGATGATGGCTGCATAAAGCCTCCAGGTGCCCCAGTGCTGTGCCAAGCACGGTGACATTCAAGCGTTTTACGCTTTATTTCAGCGTGGTTTGTGTAGCACTTAGAGCAAGCGTGTCCGTGTGAATAGAACACTTTCCATCTGGCCTTTGCACATCCTGAGATGCATCTGAACTGTCAGAAAAGAACATGGTATTTTGGATATTAAAACATTTAGCTCTTACGGTGACATTTAATAGTAAAATGTTTAAAACTGTTCTATTACTGGTGAATAGCAAAAGATAAAAACTGAACAGTGGCTCCTCTGTGACAGTAAGAGTAATATGCACTTAAAAGACATTTCCCACTGTAATAGAAATATACTGCTTATGTCAAATTATTTTCCCAAACTTCTATCTTTCATCTTCTGAAATGAATACTTTTTTCCATGAGCATTTGCTAAATTGTAGGAAGGTATTGTGGTGTTTTTATACTAAGCGGTTTTGGATAGGGAAAAATAACAGCAAAGAGGAAAGCATTGCTGCAAATGGTCAATCTTGCTGTCAAGTGTACGTATGTTTATGTTTACAATTTAAAATCTGGAGGTGAAAATGGAGAAGTGCATTATTGTTTCCTTTGAAAAGGCTTTTTGGGAAATATCCCCAAACTTCTATTTTCCATTAAAATGAGATCATACAGTTTTTATAAGTTTCTCTGCAATAACTTCAGGGGCACTCAGGAATACCAGATGCTGTGTTGTTTCCCTTATTTTCCATAGCCTAATCAGCAAATGTCTTGGACAGAGTTATTTTGCCAGGACAGAGTTATTGCTTGGCATCTGCACAGTGAGTAACTCCCTGTGCCATCCCCACGTGAGGCCCTGGGTCTGTGCGAATAAAGCCAGGCTTGGAGCTGTGAGAGCTTTGCCTGCTTTGAATTTTGCACCAAAGTCAGATCAGGACAGACTTCACTGAAGGGAGCATAACCTTCCTTGTTTCATTGTACATTATTTATTTCCTTTCAAAGATACATTAACCTAACTTCCTAAATGTGCAGATGAAGTTTTAATGTGTTCAACACAAGGGTGGGATGGAAAAAGGGAAAGGAAAGTTCCTCAGTTGTTGTTTTTTCTTTTGGAAAGCTGTGGACTGAAGCTTTTCTTTTGCATGTAAGATACACAGATAAATGAAATGAAGCATAGGATTAAAGCATGTGCTACTGCAATTAAATTAACTCATTGCATATTTAAATAATCCAGCAGTCTGGGAGCCCAGTTATGAGAGGAATGTCCATCATAGCAACGGGAATGTTAACAAGAGAAACTTGACTGAATAAATTGGGAATACAAATGCAGGCATCAGCGCTGGCTAGGTTTTACCAATGCAGTTTGCTTTGTGAAATATCAGCTGAGCGCTCATCTGCAGCCAAAAAACCCCAAATAAAGTGGTAGGAATCATTAAGAAAGGAGCAGAGCACAAAAGGCCAGACTTCCTTATGGCCTGTATCCATGGTGAACTCCATCTTAAATACTGTGGGCAGGTCTGAGCCCTCAGCTCAAAAAAGCTACAGTAAAAGAGGAAAAGATGCAGAAAAAGATTCAAGGATAAATAAACAAAGTTATAGAAGAGCTTTTGTACAAAGAACAAGTGAATAATGAGGTTCTTCAGAAATATATGACTTTAGGATAGAAAACTGTGAAATCAGATGTGAGCTGGAAAGGGTGAAGAGGATAAAGTTCTGAGGCATCACCCTGTGTTTTGGAGCACATGATCCATAATTTCTGAGAAGCTACTCCTGACAGTATCCCTCTATCTTTCCCACATATTGCCAGATAAATGAAGCTGGCAGCTCTTGGAGAACGGGAAAGTACTTCTGGTTTGATATGGTAGATCTTTTGGAGTGTAAAATGTCAAAAAAAATTAATGTGAGCTACCCAGACAAAATGTCAGAAATGCTGATATCTGATCTCAATCCTGTTTGGGCTCGTTCTGCATTGTTACAGTGCTAGGCTTTTATTCAACTGGCACATGGAGCTGAAATGTGTAAAGCTCTGTTTGTGCTCTGATGATTCTGCAGTGCTCCTTGGCAGGTGACTTGTGCTGTCCCAAAAGCTGATATAAGGAGACTGTACCAATGCATTGGTTTTTACTGCAGATATCCTTGGAAACAGCACTCAGAGTGAAAATTAGGTATTTAGCAACATCCCTCATCACCAGAGGAGTGCTTGGCTAAGCTTGTTCCAGAAATGCCAGAGAGCATCTTCTAGAGAAAATGTGGGATAATCCAGTGGACTACAGCAGGCCTTTCCCCCCCTACTTATTTTTAATTTTTGTATAGGTGATGCTGACTGTCTCCAAAACGCTGCTCTGAAATGAAGATTTTAAAGCTGGCCTGTTTGGCTGTGAAGTCTTAACATTAGGCTACTAAAAAAGGTCCTATTGCCTTTGTACAGGAAGGGGAAAGAGCTGCAGAGCCTTGAGGAACTGTTTAATCTCCCCTCACCTGAAGAGTGCATAGCTGCTGACAGAAGGAAAATAATCTGTAGTTCTTATTACACCAAAGCAGGAGAAGCAAAAGCAGGGTTCTACTTCTGACAGACAGCAGAGATGTCAGCAGTGAAGGGAGTGATCCAAATGGAATAGTCTGAAAATATCTCAGTTTGGATATCTGAATGTGAGCCGAACACACTGACATTTAGCTGTGTTCTTCCAAGAGAAGGTAGCAGGTTACACCTGATGGTCCCCAGGGGTCTCTTCCATCTTGTGGTCCTGGGAGTGTGTGACCCCCAGGGCAGGGTGACAAAACAGACAGGGCTTCCAACTGAACTGTGACAGAGAGGCTGAGGGGCTTCTCCAGAAGGATAACTATATTAAAGATATAAAAAATTTTATATATAAAATTTATATATATAAAGATAAAAATATATTTATATATTAAATATATAAAATGTTATATTTAATATAAAATTTAATATGAAAGATATAAAATGTTTTTTGATATACTTTAGGAAAAAATTAGTTTTCAGAATGCTGCCTATGTTTTTTTTTCTGCTAGTCCTCCAAGTCTGGTTTTGAATCTGCACATTTAGAGAAAAAAATAAATTGTATTTTATCACAGCATACATACCACTTGGTAAAGTACTTCTTATTTTAGATTATTTTCAGACATTGTTATTAAACAAAGGTCACATCCCCTCAAGATCCAAAGGTATTAAAACTTGCTATCAGTGGGCTGGTTCTTTTATCTCCTTGAATTTTGATATGAAATAAGATGGAGACAACTGTCAATAGTGTCTGAGTCTCTTGACATTTTTGCTGACTTGCCAAGGATGTTATGTTGAAGCCTGGACATTTTGCAAATGTTGGTCTCATCTAAGCTTTGATTTGTTGCCCAGTATTGGTCTCCTTTTCTCGGAGGGCACTGCTGTCTCGAGGGCAGTTGGTGTAGGGTGGGCATCACAAGGTGCTGATAGCTGAGGTTGTGACAGGCCTTAATCCAAGAAATTACCCTCATTTTTCAGCCTCGTTTGTCATGATGGATCACCTTCATCTGACATGGGCAGGGACATCTGTGGTGGAGGTACAATGGGAGCTGTTCACAGCACTGGCTCTGCTCCAGGGTGCAGGTGTGCAGGGGGCTCAGGATGGAGAAGGGAAGGGACAGGCTAATTATTGAGTCAGGTGTCATGGTCACTGACAAGAGACAAAAAAGGATGTTTGTGCATCGTGTCGTCAAGCCCCAAGATGCAGAATGATGTTGGTAATAAAGTATTTCATCCTGAGGACTCTCCAGGGAGATTTTCAGTAATACCAGTAACTGAAGGAAACATCTCACAAGTAAAAGGCAGAGGTAGATTTACATTTTGAGGTAGATTTATGTTTTAAGGATTGTACTGATGGGTCTGCTAAACACACAACAGCCTTATGTCCAGACTGTAAATATTCATATGTACATGGCCATGGTCTTTGAGGGGTGGCCTTTCTGTGGCCAGACTTGCTTTGAGCTTCCCAGTACCAGAACCTGTTTGGGCCTTTTCCACCCTAGGTATAAAGCAGAAGTTAAAGACAAACTCCTTTGTGCCAAGTAACTCTAAATCCTTTAGGAGGGGCATTTCAGAAATGTGCAAATAGGCAAAAAAATGAAGTGCTCAAGATTAGAGAAACCTGTTTTTGTACACTTTGTACTGTATCTCCAATAGTGCACTGAGCTCAGACAGCTGCAGCAGTGCTGGGGGCTTCACACCCCCACAAAGCCTGGCTTACAGCAAGATCCTTCCCAGCACATCCTGGCCGAGACCCCCCTGCTCTGTGCATGAGGAATGAGAGACAAAACGAGAAAGAGGGGAATGAATGTTACAATACTTTTGCTTTGTGTGGTGGAAGGCCAGTTAAGATATCAACTTATCAGAGGGATGTCAGCAAAAGGTGTGATTAATGATAGCAAAGTCAGGGAATTCATTGCTTCAACAAAGTACATAATCCTATGGGTTTACAGAAGGATTCTCAGGTGCCTAATAAATAACTCAATATATTGTGAAAACCCTTCTGGTGTTATACATTTCAGATGACAAGTTCAGTTTCATATTTGAGATATTAGATAGACATTTACAGGTAATTTTTGCAATATTAAAAAAATTAGTTTTTCCTAGAATGTGTTGTATAGAGAAGTAGAATCAAATTTTCTCTTTCTCACAGAAATTTTATATGGTTTTGAATGTGATGACTTTCTTAGAATGAATCTGGCATTGAGCAATATCACAATCTGTCCCTTGTTTTAATAGATTAGATGGTATCAAATAAACAGGTCATTTTTGTAAGCAGAAAGGGCTGTTTCAAAGTTATAGGTTTTATTTATTATTTTGAAATATAATTGGTTTTGAAAACAGAATGGTCCCAGACCCAAAATTTCCAAATGTATTAAAAAATAAAAAATTTTACTGTGGATAATTATTAGACTTGGAGATATTAGAGCATTTTAAAGAGGATTTTCTCCCTTACCTTCACACGTGATTCCATCACCGCTGTATCCAGGGGGACAAGGACCACATTGGAACTCTCCATCTCCGGCTGGCTGACACTGCACCCCCGTGAAACAGGGCAGCTCAGCACACACTGCTCTGTGCTGCACCCCACCGCTGGTTTTTGGCAGCTCCACAGCACCCCTTGCTCTGCTGAGCATCCTCCTGGCTGCTGTGCTGTGTGCTGGGAGCCCTATTCCAGGAGCAGACCCAGCACTCCGGGATGGAGCAGCCAGGGAAGGGCCCAGCCAACGGGGAGGAGCAGGGAGGCGCGTGGCCAGGGGAGATGCTCTGGGCTGCTCTGTTGGGAAACCCTGGGGTGGGTTATTCCTCAAGAATGAGACTTGACTGGGCCATTTCCTGAGAGAGTAACCATGCCTGGAATGAGTCTGTGAGCCTGCAGGAAATGAACCTGGATTTGTGTTGGGATGGGGAGGAACAGCCCGTGCTGTAGTTTCTTTGTGCTGCTTAAAATGGAGAGAGGGGTGGGAGGTCACACCAACACCTGGGGCTCTGGGCTCTGGCTCCTCGTGCAGAAGGGGTGTGAGATCACTTCTTTTCTCATGAAAAGGTTGTTTCTCAGGTGCTGTGAACTCCGTATCAGGCTGTTTTTCTGGTGGTGTCTGAGCTTGGGAAGTCTCCCTTTCCATTGTAAGGGATGGAGTGTGAATGGCTGTGGGGTTTCTTTCCAAAAGGAATGTAATATCTTGTCTTGGGATTTGGGGTTGAGAAAGAAGGGAAAATACATTTCTTGATGTCTTAGATACATCTTGATGAGAGGCTCCAGCATCTTCAATATTTCTTCCAGGAAAATCCACGTGGGCTTGGAAAGATCTTGAAACTAGGGCAGAAGGAAGATATATATTACCTAAATTTTCTGGTCTAGAGTTGAAAGGAACCACAGTTAACCTTTGGGTTTGAAGCAAACAAAAGAACATCAATCCTAGAAGTAAAAGAGTTAATTATCAGATATTACAGGGAGGTTCATGCCAATTGGTTTAGAAATTACACGGGGCTGTCTGCTGTAGGTGACACCAGCACTGATGCACAGGGAACTGCAGTGATGACACTCAAAGGATGGCATTCATGAGCCAGATGAAATATATTTTTCACAGCAAGTCTCAGGGAAGTTCAGGCATTACTTGAGTTGCATCACTGGGTTGACATTCAGGGGTTAAATTGCAGCCAAGCAAAAACTTCCTGTGCTGCTGTAGTAATTTTGGCTTGCACTAGTCTGTGAGGTTTTGGTACTGTGCACCTTTTTTTGTGGTGAATCTTCCAGTTCTTGACCTCCTGAGCCAGGATTTGTTTCTTATTACCTGTCTTTACTGCAGTGCTGTGCTGGGAAATGCTCTGAGGGCATAACTCAGAGTTCTCATTCCAGCTCTTTGAGTCAAGGAGACAGAACATCCCAGCTTGGCACAGACAGATGCTGGAGCAGGAGAAACACACAGTGTCAACACTGCCCTTGGCAAGAGCGTGCCCTGGAGAGGCTCCAGTGCCACCACACCAGTGGGTGACTCTGGAATGCTGCTGTAGCCCTGATGGCAAAGGGAAGTTTTAGGGAAGCTTTTAAAGGAGACAAATGGAAGAGCTTTGTTGGTGCCGTGTACAGCTCCCTGCAGACGAGAGGGGCAGCGTGTGAGGGAGCGGCTGGTTTGTTACTGTCACCCACTTGTCCCAAAGCCAGCCACCTTTTCAGCTGTGTAAGGAGGGATGATAGATGGGCAGAGGGGACTCTGTGAAGGGCCTTGAAAGTGGAGACGAGTAGTTTGAATCAATACTTTCAGGAAGATTAATGGCCATCTGCTGACGCTAATGAATGGAAGAGGCTATTTTTAACCGGTTCTGGCACACTCACTCTGTAGGATATGGAATACATTGGATCCTGAACAACAACCCTCGCTTGGTTCTGGGGTTAACCCCATGCAGGATGCACCTCTTTCTTTAAATATAAATATTAATCACTTTCTAAAAACTCCCATTGATGGAGATCTTAACCATAGATTGCAAGGAATGCTTGGATGCTTGGCAAGGGTCAGATGAAAGTTAGGTCATTGACTGGACCAAAACAAATCCTGGCAGCCAAAGCAGTGTTTATTTGGCTGATAAATAGTGTCATTCTGCTGGCAGCTGATGAGTTTTTATTGCCCTGAAGCACAATGTTTTGGAGATTTACAATGGTGCTGGATCGAGCTGTGGCCATCAGCAGGTAAATACATGGTATTTAGTGGAGCAGAAGGCAAACACATGGATTTCAGTATCCAAAGTAAGGCTGGCGACTGATGGGGGACACACAATGGGAGAGCAGAGATGATGAAGCAGGAGGACATCAGCAAAAAGAGCATGTGAGGATAGGGAAGTCAAAGGATTTTTAAAAATGAATGAATGAGAGAAAGAGGAAAGAAGTATCTCCACAGAAAATTATCGGTAATAGATGATCATTATAGCCCTTAGAAAGTTTGATTCAGGGACAAGAAATCAACAGGAATGACAGTGAAGGGCTGAATGACCTCTCTGACAAATTTCCAAAATGAGCCCTGATTATAGCTTTAAGCTCCTTCCACTGTGTCATAATTAAATGGGTTTCCCTCCCAATTAAATTTGAGTAACTAGTAAGGAGATCAGACTGACTACCTGAGAAAGGCAAATCTTTTATTTCTTTAGCAGATGATAGAGGTGAGATACCCACCCTTCAAATAAACTTCATCTTTCCCTGTAAGGGGGAGCATATTTTTGGAATATTTCTGTGATAAGGTAATTTTTACATCTCAGATGCTACCATTGAAGAGTAATAGCACATTTTTGTTGGTCATTCATTATGATATATACAGATAAAGGTCCCTCAGCCACTCTGTAGAGGTGACTAAACTCCGTAAGATGTTGGTGTCATTCAAGGGTGTTGACCAGAGTGTCCTCTCAGCTTTCATTGTTTCAGATTTTTGCTTGTATTGATAGAGTGCAATTTAGTTCAGATAAGAACATGATAGATTTTTCTCTGGAATACCTGAAAATATTTTTCTGCAGCCTTCCAAGTATCTAAATGAGCTAAAACAAAGAAAGCAAACCAAAAGAATGCAGACTCAGTTGTCTGTAGTCAGCAGCTTTCTCAAATCCTGCATTACTTCAATTTATTTTCCTTGCTCAAAATATTTTCCTTGATCAATATCTTCAAACATGTAACCCATTATCAATGCAAACTGTGAGTGTGTCAATCTGTTTTTCCTGTTATGCCAGCCTATGATTGCATATTGGACTGGGTAAAATCACCAAAAAATCCCCCACAAGGTGAAGTGCTCAAGGTTATACAATGGAACAAACCCACGTTTTCACTCCCTGTCAGTGAAACTGCACAAACTAATGGGGAAATGTGCAGCAGTGGAATAACTGAGTTTATTTTTCACAGAAGTAGATAAGAGACTGAGATGCTGCTGCTCTGCTCCAGGTGAGCATGGCAGGACCTCTGTTCTTATTGATGCACTGTGAGCAGAGCATCATTCCTGTATGGATCAGCTCCCAGAAAGGCAGATTCCTCTGCTGTCCCCCAGCTGGGGAGCACTGGAGCAAGGGTGACAGAGAGCAAATTTCTGAGATGCAGGTTTAACATCCCTCATCCAACTGGATGAGGCACTTTCCACCAGGACACTTTCCATCCCTGTGGTGCAGGAGTCCCCCAGCCTGTGACCCTCCAGCCTCTGGTTCTCCCAGGGTTTCCCACTGGGATTTCACAAATCAGAACTGTCACAGCCAGCCCCTGGCTCTCCAGTGCCATCATGGTGTTGCTAAGGCACAGCAAATCTGTAGGATCCAGATCATTCCCAAGGGAATAAAAATGACCACTGAAGCTGGTGAAACAGCCATTCGCAGAGAAGGTACTTGACATCTCTTAAACCCAGGGTGAGATATCAACATTCTGAAACAGAAAGGAAATCCAATATATTTTTTCTCTTCTGAATTTATGATTTGATTTTTGGAGATTTTTTTTTTTTTTTTTTTTTTTAACATTTACAGTCTTTTAAAAAAAACAGATCCAGACTTGAATTAAGAGAAGTCGTGTCCCCTTCTGACCCCAACTATTCTGCTCCCAGTGAAGCAGCACACATTTCACACCCTGCCTAGAGCAGGGTGCACCAGGCTGGTTGCCATATTCCTTGGTGCTGTTCTCCCACACCTTTGCTGTGCTTAGACTTGCATACCTTCACACTGTTCTTCCCAAGCCATGTGCCTTGGAGACAGCCCCATCCTGGCCAAAACTGGCAGCTGACACTTCAAATACTTGCCTAAGCTGCCTGCAGATATCAGTATTTATCACCTTTGCATTGCCATTAGAGTTGCACCTTTGCAGCTATTACAGTTAGAAATTTTCCTTTTGGGTTTAAAATATGAGTATTACTTTTTATTTATGCAATGGCTTGAGCATCTTCATGTAATCACAAGTGTTTCTCTCTCTTTTAATCTAATAAAATGCCCCAAACCAGCCTGCTCTTCAGGTGGAGACTGGCTCCTTCTCCTTAAACTCCTCTTACTTCAGAGGATTATGCTTTAATTCTGCTCGAGTTACAACTCCTTCAGAATTCTGTGAGCAGTTTTAAGGATTCATTATTAACACAATTCAATAAATTTACAATTTGTGTAGTTTTAGAGCTATTAACATTTAGTAGTACCTGCTGTCCAGCCAATTTCTCATTCAGAAGAATGTTGGCAGAGAAATGCTCTTTTGACATATTACACTGTGTGGGTCATCATTTAAAATTTGAGACATCTACCAGCACATAAATCTTATTTAAAATGTCAAGAGAGAACAGAAAAATTACACTGGTCTAAGAAGTCTTGTTACTAGAGTGCTAAGGATATTCCCATTTCCCTCTGCATGTTTCCATGTTAATATTTGTTTCTGTATTTACTGAGTGAGAAAAGGGAAACAAGAGCAGCTGTCAATAGGATGCTCCAGGGAAATTCTGTTTTTTTCATCAACTCTTAGTTTCCTCTTTTATATTATTATGTTCTGGCATTACTTTCTTTTCTACTCAGAGTGTGTTTAATTCCTAAATCTCTTGTTTTGCCATCCAGTGATACCCTAATGTCTTCCCTCTCTTAAATATTCAATAACACAGTTCTGATTCTCCTTTCCTTCCTTTCAAGCATCCAGAAGCTCCCCACATTAGATGCTGGGTGGAATTCCCAGTCACCATATCCCTTCTCCTACAATCACAAGCAGTAACTCCCAAAAAAATTCCTCACCACCTTTAAGTGAAATACAGCTTCAACCTCCCAAGTTTTACAAGGAATTACTTCCAGGATTTTTTTTTTTTTATAGCAAAAAAACATTTCAAAGGCTCATTGTGATTGGGATATTAATGTAAATTTAGGTAGGTGCTTAATTTTTCACCTAATGATCCTTTACATATTTTTTTATGTAAAAAAGTGGAAAGTCAAATGTTGTGTGCCTCACATGCACACAGCTCAGCACAGAGCAGAGCAGTCACATGGCTCTCTCTCCATCTGTACAGGAGTATTCAGTCCTTGTGCTCTCAAACCACCACTTCTGCAATGGGCAAATTTACTCACTGGATGCTTTAATGATGAAATTAAAAGGTGAACATCTAGTTCACTATCCCTGAGCTCTTTCAGCCTGATGGAAAATGAGATTGTGTCGCTGATGTCGCTGTCTGGTGAGCAATTTTCTTCCCCTTCACCTACCAAAATCATGAGCAGCAGGGAATAGTTTGTGGACTCTGCATCACTCAGCCACTTCTGATTATAACAACTCCCCTGCTCCAGACTCTGTTTGCCAACGTGGCTGCAGCTGCACGTACACAGTTCTCTAACACCATTCAGAAT